GGTGCCCCCCGGCTTTGTGTCTCGCCCCCCCGCCGGGCACGGAGCCTCTGAGAGAAACGCTTCCCCGAGGAGGAGGAGGAGGCTGTGAGCGCGAGCTGCCCACTCCGCCAAGCGTGCTGCAGACCGGGGGGCTCTTCTCCCACTCACCCCAGCCCCTCCACTCGTGACACCTTCTTCTCCTCCACTCCATGTGCAAACACATAAATGTACAGTTCCCAAAGTCTCCTTGGGTTTCCCTTCATTTTACCTTCCTATCCTTCACAGAAATGCCTCCCCCACCGTGCCAAAACATTGCCTTTCACCCAAGAAATGGTTCTTTCAGACCTTGCCTTCACAAGTCCCTAGTAGAAAAATCCACTTTTCCAGTTTCCAGAAGCTTTTGCCCCGTTCCGATGGTGGTAACTGCCTCCTCCCACATTCCCAGCGTTTGCAGACGGTTTGCGTCTCAGCTGAAGGTCCCCCTTCCGTGGAATTTGGCCACGAAGTCCCCATGCTCTTTGCCTTGTCGCTTTCTCAGAGCCACTGCGAGCACAGACCCCATCCAGTGAGCAGGGGAGGGAGAAAAAAGGTGGATGGGGTCAAGGAAGCCCCGTGATCGGGGCTGAATCAGAAGCCCCAGGCTGGGAATGCCCAGCTCTGCTGCGAAGGACGTGGGGTCCTGGGGGCAACGGGCCGAGCAGCTGCGGTGTCTCCCGGCCATGGCGAACGCGCTGGGCTGGTGAGAGGGGATGCTCCGTTTACTCCGCACTCAGTAGATCACATCTGGAGTACTGCGTCCCGGCCCCACAGCAAGGAAGACGTCGACGGGCTGGAGTGAGTTCAGAGGAGAGCCGTGAAGGTGGAGCACAAGCCCAGTGAGGAGCGGTGAAGGAGCACGGCTTTCCCAGCCCGGAGCAGCGTGGTGGTACGGCCCCCCTCGTGATCTCGGAGCCGGCCGACATCGTGTTCTTCCCCGCGCTGCAAGCGCAGCGAGCTGGGCCGACGACTCGGCACTTCCCTTGTCTCTGTACGGGAGCAGCGAGTTGAAGGGATCAGGCGCTGCCGGGGCGCACCAGGAACTCCGGCTGCCCGGATCAACACGGCAGAACTGCACAGTCTGGGAAGTACGGGAATTGTCTGGCTGTCCTCAAGATGCCAGGATTGCCTCCTACGGATTGTGGCCGTGATGGAAACTCACCGATGCCTGAAGTCATAATTTCACGACTTGACAAGCAGTGGCACCACGAGAGGCCCCGTGAGCTCTCCCGCACGGCAGCAGCTGCGCCCGCGTCTCCCCCGGAGCGCAACGCCTCCCACAGCCCCCAGCCCCGGAG